GAAACATTTTCAAGTCATCTGGGACCCAAAGCATGTTCTGAACAGAGAATATGAACTGCTACCATCTAATGGAGATCAATAAAGTCAGCCTGAAGCATCCTTTGTGCTCCAGTCGATCCTCTCAGTAAACACAGAGCTGATCCCAGATCAGATGCACGCTGAAGGCTCTTTGAGCAGCTTTTCTCTCACTGATGGTGCTGTTATGTTCAATGTTTGTTGTCTGTCTTGATATTTGTCTGTTGATGTTACACATGGAGCTGCTGTGATGCAAGGAGCATTTCAGACTTGATCTGACAATTAAAGTGTTATCGTATCGTATTTTCTAGACGTGAATTGCACCGAGATGAAAACACTCCATGTTCCACCATCATGAGTTCTTGACATTTCAAAGCAGACCTTGTATTGAAAGCAGAATGAGTCAGCTGATCTGACCTGTATCTGATGAGCGAGTTGTTCCCTTGGTCTCTGTCGGAGGCGGACAGCGTCAGCAGCAGCTTCCCCTCCTCGGCGTCTTTGAGCAGGACGCTGATGGCGAAGCTACTGGAGCTGAACTCAGGTCTGTTGTCGTTGACGTCCACGAGGCTCACTCTGATGGTGGTGATGTTCTGGTGCACAGAAGTCAGCAAAGGAGGTTAGGATTGTTATATCTCAATCTTTAAATAGTCTTTGTGTTTCGTATAATCGATTACAATTTAGATGATATCGATATATATATTTATAGTTCCTCTTCTTTGCCAGGTATCAGGTGCCATACTAGACCTGATTAAAACGACAGTTAGCAACTTTGTTCAAAATACATTATATCATATTTGATTTTTAAGCTGTCACTATATCCTTACAGAGGTGCATGAGACTGATAGAATAAATAAATAAAAGTGCTGAATTTATGAGATAGTCCTAATGCTCAAATGAAAACAACCAATCAGAACGTGTCCCTTATTGGTTGTTTTCATCCGGGTGCAAGAGTTTTGCAAATGCCATGAGAAGCACAGGAGGAGGCAGAAGAACATTCATTTCTTCAAATAATTAGTTTTCCTTGTGCAGTGCTGTCAGGAAACAAATGTCACATTTTCTCTCTCCTTCGTCTCCTACCTCTCTCTGTGGGCTGCCGTTATCTGAGGCCTTCACCACCAGCTCATATGTTTCCTTGCTCTCCCGATCCAGAGGTCCGACAGCCAGCAGCATCCCGTCCTGAAACAACAGAAGAGGGAAGTAACTAAGTACATTTACTCAAGTACTGTACTTCAGTAAAATTTTATGCTACTGTGTACTTCTACTCCACCACATGTATTTAATACCTTTAGTTACTTTACAGATGTGGATGAATGATGTGAAATATAATCAAGTGTTAAATCAGACTTTAGTTACACCTGGAGTAAATCCACAAGCTACCCTGCAGTATACAAAGTCAAACTAGCTGCTCCTTTACCAGCTTTGAGAACACTTTAATGATCAATCATTATAAAACATATCATATATATTATTCTGAAATGGACCAATCTGCACAATGACTACTTTTACTGTCGATACTTTCACTATATTTTGATGAGAATACTTTTCTATACTTCTAATACTTTTTTTTTTTTCTACTTTTACTTGAGGAACATTTTGAATGCAGGACTTTTACTGTGACAGAGTATTCCTACACTCTGGTACTTCTACTTTACTCAAGTACAAGATCTGAGTATTTCTACTTTGACTGAAGTACAATATCTGAGTACTTCTCCCACCTCTGTGCAACACCACACATGATGTTAGGACCTGAGCGCTGCTGACACAACAATATTTCCACAATCCTCTCTCTCATGGCCTCACCTCTCTGAATCTGAAGAGTGGGTGAGGGGAGGTGAGGGAGAGGGTGACTTCTCCGTTGGGGCCGAGGTCGGCGTCGGTGGGCACGATCATGAGGATTTCTCTAGGGTTTTTCTCGGAGTAGTCGCCCTCCAGGACCTGCAGGGGGTCGGGGATGACCGGGAACTGCGGGGCGTTGTCGTTGTAGTCGAGGACGGAGATGTTGAGCTGAGCCGTGGAACTGAATCCGTCAACCAGCTGATCCACTGCCACCACCTGGAAACACACACAGAACATCAGGGTAAATCAAACCAAATCAAAATGTATTACAGCCCCAAATCACAAGAAAAGCCTCAAAGGGCTGAGACAAAAAAGCAAAGAGAAAAACTAAATACAAACGTCATAGCATAAAAACATTATACACCATTATACATCAAAATAAGTATCGCCATGTGATAAAAGCATGTGACTGAAGTGAGGGTAATGTTGAACGGAAACTAGGTGGTGGTATCTATATAGCGCTTTCACGCTCTCTGCAACCCTTCTACATTTACAAGTCAGCATTCACCCATTCAGACAGAGGTAAGGGCTGTCATACAAGGTGGCACCTGCTCGGGGAAACCCAAATTCATACACACTCACACACTGTTCTGTATTTGCATCTGTTTTAATTGTTCCATGTCCTATATGTTGCACGGTTGGAGGAGCCTGTGACCTAAGTTTTTCATTTCCATATCTAAACTGTACCTAATCTGTACTTGACAATAAAGCTTTGAATCTGTTGGCCAATTTGGGGTTACGTTTTGCCCATGGACACATTGACAGAAGGGGCTTGGAATTAAACCAGTATATTTTTGATGGTATAGGACCATCTTCCTCCTCAGCCACAGCCGACCTGAAGTCAGCTGAGAAAAACTCTCTTCCCTGATATTTTTTATCCATTACAAATAAAATAAAAATTATAACATGCTGTGTAAAAAAGTTTAGTTATTTATTTAAAATGTATTTATTTAAAATGATATATATTTATTATTTATTGTAGATATTTTGTTATCTTTCCTGCTCTTATTGTGCAGGGCTGTGAATACACTGCAAATATATTGTGTGAATTGTTAAGATATTATTATGAGAAACCAAATAGGTTAAAGTTACATTCACAAATATTTTCCAAATCTTAATGAAAGTAATTGTGAAGAAAACAGGGAGCAAACTGTTAGGATACAATGAGACTGAAAGTCCCAACATATTTTTACCTTGTGAAATGATTCTTGATGAAATGTTCTACTTCTTATACTGTCGAATGTAGATATTTATTTTGGGAGACTTTCTTTCCATTATTAATGAAATGTTGATCTTAATTGAAGTTTAGGAAATAAAAATATCTATCTATCTATCCATAGTGTTGTAAACTATTTTTGTTAACACAATCAATACCAAGATATGCAACAAAAAATGTATATGTATCAGGCGATGCTTTATTTGTTGTGGTACCATCACAACTGTGTGGTCAGACCCACCACATGTCTTGTGAGTTCTCCGGCCGAAGCTCCAAATAAACCGTCAGTGTTTGCCATCAAAGCTCCAGCTCTCCTCGTGTCTCTCTGAGTCCTGACTCCTATTACTTCAGAAGTTTCCCCCACAGTATTTATATTTGTTTTGTTTTTGTACCTGTAAAATGTAGCTGTCCTTTGTCTCTCTGTCCAAAGTGACGTCCTTCCTCAGGGAGACCACGCCTTGATTGTTGATGTCGAAGGTATCGTTGTTGTAGATGAAGTAACCGTCAGAGAATCCGCCCTGAAGAAGAAGATACGTGTGTTGAATAACTGCGCTGACTTCATAGTCAAAGGTAATCGCAAGCACTGGACACTAAAAAAAGACAGGGATAGTCTTTATAAATGACGTCAGTGTGAAGCAGAAGTGCTGAGGTCCAAACTGTTAAGTGTTTAAAGCTTCAAGATAAAGAAACTGCGACTGAAAATACAAATATAACTGGATCTCTTTCACCAAGCAGATCAGACAAACTACAAATCCATTGTTTTGGAGTTGTGTATTTAACTTGATTATTTCCTTTTCTTATCAAGCTCCACTTTTGTGGAATCAGCTTCCAGTTTGTGTTCGGGCGGCAGACACCCTATCCGTTTTTAAGAGTGCGCTTAAGACCTTCCTTTTTGATAAAGCTTATAGTTAGGGCAGTTTAGATTCAGCCCCTAGTTTTGCTGATATAGGCTTAGTTTGTCGGGGGACATCTTACTTCTTCCTTCTCTCTGTCTATACCTGTGTACTCTCATGTTCCGATTAACCCAGCTTCCCCAAATTTCTTTCTTTTTGGTGTCTATATACGCCGGGATCCGGAGTCATGGATGATCCTGCGGTCCTGTGTCATGGATTGCGAGTCCTGGATCTTGAGTCGTGGCTGTGGTCCTGGATCATAAGTCCTGGATGGATATACTCGTGGATTCATCTTCCTATTATACACACATGCATTTCCAAACATTTGGACTACCTATGTTGCAAATGTATTATCTTTTCAATTTACACACGGCATCTATTGCACGTCTGTCCGTCCTGGGAGAGGGATCCCTCCTCTGTTGCTCTCCCTGAGGTTTCTCCCATGTTCCCCTTTAAACTGTGGGTTTTCTCTGGAAGTTTTTCCTTGTACGATGTGAGGGTCTAAGGACAGAGGGTGTCGT